CAAGAGATAACAGTGATTCCGTTAGTGATAGTGAAAGTCGTCCTACACAATAATCTTCCTCTCTCTCGTCCCCCTCACACCAGCCACGAAGGTACCTGTAATTGGTTTATTTTCTTTATATTTTGTACAGGTTTATATTACAGTACTGTATTGTAATCATTTTTATATGAATATTTTTGGGTTGTGGAACAAATCATCTGAATTTCCATTATTTCCTATGGGGAAATTCGCTTTGATATACAAGCGCTTTGGATTACAAGCATACTTCTGGAACGAATTATGCTCGTAAACCAAGGTATCACTGTATACGTTTTTTAACACATAGACACAAACCAACACTTAACCTTAGCAATGCAGTGGTAGCCCCACTGCAAGGGTAACCATTTCGCCCAGAGTTCGGCTTTAATATACGGCAGCTTTCCAGTGATTACATGTGGTTACCTCATTAGTTTTCTTTTCTCAAATTTTTTCCCTTTTTTGCCTCTGGTGGTCACATTTTGTGTCCTTGAGTGACAACGCTCACTCACAGTGCTCTATGTATAGAGAAACAGCATTGCCACTCGAAGAAGGTAGTATGTTGGGACTACAAAACACCTCCCTGTACCACATAACATATGGGTGAGGTTTTCTGTAATCCAAAGAGAAAACTGGGAACACTGCCAACTGACAAGAGTGCAGCACAGGCAGAGAGCACTTGAAATTTGCACTCAAAAGATTTCATGAAAAACGAACATGTATGTTTTTGCACTTCCTGAACAGAGATAAAACAACACTTTCAATTATATATTTAATAGACCAGAAGAGATTAAAATAGAAGAGGTTTATTGGTATGCTTTACAACACTTTAGCTCATCTCATTTATGTCCAAGATCTGTCCCCTTGAGTTCTTATAGTGGATATTAGATTCTAATTCCAACCAAGACCCTTTTTCTATCATCACTGTATGCAATAAAAGATTATTACTTAAAACAAAATAATTCTTCTACTCCCTTATTTGCTTTCCTCTTATAATCCTAATATCAATCATTTCCTTTCCTAAACCAATGTCACAACTATTTCCCTAATAAACAATAACCAAAAGTAGACTTCCACGATATGACCTCTCATAAGACTAATAAAGTTAATAAGACCAAACTGCCTGTGTTTGCTAAAAGGTCATTTGATAGGTCCTCTGCTTTTGCATATTTCAAGCAAGCAGTACCTTCTCATAAATGATACATTAAATAAAATTATATCTGAGGATATGTGGTCTGTGCCACCATTTCCTTCTTCACAATTTATTGGACCCGTTAATGTCTGTAGAAAATAGTTCTGCATCCATAGGCCAAGGCACTTTTCATAGCCCATTGTTATGAATTGTGCTACCTGTGGTAGGACTGATCAACTGGCCCTCCAGCACCCATTGCAATTCTTGCTACCTAGTGTAGATCTTCCTGTCACTTAACATTAAAGATACAAAATCTACATCTCTGCACCTGTTTCCTCAATGAAGATAGGGTCAGGGAGCAACTGAGATAGCAGGAGAATTTTCCAGAATCGTGCCACATGCCAAACTGAAGGGAAGTGCCTGAGACAAAATTCTGAGGAACAGCTATGACAGGTCCCAGAAATTGATATTTCAAAATGCAGCTCAATAGATCTTAGACAAAGAGGTGAGAGTAATCCACGTCTCCTGTCCTGCCTGATTGATACTTCAGCTTGGATTAGTCTATTGAAATGATTTCACATATATAAATTTAGGCCCATGGATGCATCTTTCCCTTAATTAAATGTAATATTTTAAAAACATCTTGTGAAAGAACCTTGTTATGGTTTCATGAAATGAGAAAGATTCCATTGAGTCAAGAGATAACAGTGATTCCGTTAGTGATAGTGAAAGTCGTCCTACACAATAATCTTCCTCTCTCTCGTCCCCCTCACACCAGCCACGAAGGTACCTGTAATTGGTTTATTTTCTTTATATTTTGTACAGGTTTATATTACAGTACTGTATTGTAATCATTTTTATATGAATATTTTTGGGTTGTGGAACAAATCATCTGAATTTCCATTATTTCCTATGGGGAAATTCGCTTTGATATACAAGCGCTTTGGATTACAAGCATACTTCTGGAACGAATTATGCTCGTAAACCAAGGTATCACTGTATACGTTTTTTAACACATAGACACAAACCAACACTTAACCTTAGCAATGCAGTGGTAGCCCCACTGCAAGGGTAACCATTTCGCCCAGAGTTCGGCTTTAATATACGGCAGCTTTCCAGTGATTACATGTGGTTACCTCATTAGTTTTCTTTTCTCAAATTTTTTCCCTTTTTTGCCTCTGGTGGTCACATTTTGTGTCCTTGAGTGACAACGCTCACTCACAGTGCTCTATGTATAGAGAAACAGCATTGCCACTCGAAGAAGGTAGTATGTTGGGACTACAAAACACCTCCCTGTACCACATAACATATGGGTGAGGTTTTCTGTAATCCAAAGAGAAAACTGGGAACACTGCCAACTGACAAGAGTGCAGCACAGGCAGAGAGCACTTGAAATTTGCACTCAAAAGATTTCATGAAAAACGAACATGTATGTTTTTGCACTTCCTGAACAGAGATAAAACAACACTTTCAATTATATATTTAATAGACCAGAAGAGATTAAAATAGAAGAGGTTTATTGGTATGCTTTACAACACTTTAGCTCATCTCATTTATGTCCAAGATCTGTCCCCTTGAGTTCTTATAGTGGATATTAGATTCTAATTCCAACCAAGACCCTTTTTCTATCATCACTGTATGCAATAAAAGATTATTACTTAAAACAAAATAATTCTTCTACTCCCTTATTTGCTTTCCTCTTATAATCCTAATATCAATCATTTCCTTTCCTAAACCAATGTCACAACTATTTCCCTAATAAACAATAACCAAAAGTAGACTTCCACGATATGACCTCTCATAAGACTAATAAAGTTAATAAGACCAAACTGCCTGTGTTTGCTAAAAGGTCATTTGATAGGTCCTCTGCTTTTGCATATTTCAAGCAAGCAGTACCTTCTCATAAATGATACATTAAATAAAATTATATCTGAGGATATGTGGTCTGTGCCACCATTTCCTTCTTCACAATTTATTGGACCCGTTAATGTCTGTAGAAAATAGTTCTGCATCCATAGGCCAAGGCACTTTTCATAGCCCATTGTTATGAATTGTGCTACCTGTGGTAGGACTGATCAACTGGCCCTCCAGCACCCATTGCAATTCTTGCTACCTAGTGTAGATCTTCCTGTCACTTAACATTAAAGATACAAAATCTACATCTCTGCACCTGTTTCCTCAATGAAGATAGGGTCAGGGAGCAACTGAGATAGCAGGAGAATTTTCCAGAATCGTGCCACATGCCAAACTGAAGGGAAGTGCCTGAGACAAAATTCTGAGGAACAGCTATGACAGGTCCCAGAAATTGATATTTCAAAATGCAGCTCAATAGATCTTAGACAAAGAGGTGAGAGTAATCCACGTCTCCTGTCCTGCCTGATTGATACTTCAGCTTGGATTAGTCTATTGAAATGATTTCACATATATAAATTTAGGCCCATGGATGCATCTTTCCCTTAATTAAATGTAATATTTTAAAAACATCTTGTGAAAGAATCTTCCGAAAACAAGTAAACAGAATTAATGCTCAAGAGTAAGTGCATATGTAAGTATTTTCCTATTGGCTATCAGCAACTTATTCAGTAAACAAATTTATTCTTACGTTGTTTTGGCAAGGCGTTCTAGGGCCTGAGAATAAAGCATATCATAAACATAAAAGTACTTACTGAAGTCAGAGCCAGTGAAATGCTCACTAAAAGATTCAGTCGCAAAAAAATATGATAGTGCTTCTTTTCAATCAAATGTATTGTCTTTTCTACACTTATTGGTTGGGCTAGCGTATAAATTAGCTCAACAGTTTGTAGTTCCATTATTATGTGTTAGTCTTGTTTTTTTTTTAAAGAATTTTGTCTTAGAGTTATACAGTATGACTGTGCAGCTATCTTTCTATGTGTGAAATAGAGGATATTTGGATAGAGCAGAAGGTCGGGTTTTTATTGTCATTTGTGTTTTTTAACTAGGATATTTCCCATCGCTTCATGTCAGGAAAGGAAGTGATGGGGAATCTCTTCAAAAGGGGCACAGACAAACAATTCCTTTTTCAGAAAAGTGAGTAGAGTTAGTATAGTAGAGTTGTTTTTGTTGCTGCACTTGACTTCCTGCTCCAGTGACAGCCACATACTCCATTTCTTGTACAGGCTTCACATGGTCAGGAAGTACAGGAATATCTCTTCAAGGTGGTCACAGACCAAAAAAAACCTAATAGAAAGTGTAACTGTTTTTTAACTCCATCTAAAACTAGTTCGGCTTTTAGATTTTCATATACTTTGTCACTTTAGTAAATATTGTAAAAAGTGAGATTATAACATAGCTCATATAAAACATATCCCTTTTGTTAGACCACAACACAACTACTCCTTGTAGTAAGGGGAAGAAATACCTAGCTGTGGGTCCGAGTTCTTTTGTAGTTATCCACACAATCTCTTATTTAGCATTTACAGTCCAAGTGCTCATAGTCCGGTCATATTTACTTATTTTAAATATTGATTAAAAGTAGTATAACGTTTTATACTTTTCAACTCCTGTGACTGTTTTCTTTTACAGTTTTTGTACTGAATGTACTTGTAATCATACAAGATGTTACCTGCCTTAGTGGAAACCTTGTATTAAAAATCCAATATCTGCTACTAAGCTGGGTTGGGATTTTAATCTACTTGCTGTTTTCACCTTGCAAAATGGGTACGCTAAGATAAGTCAAATCGAGTCCTTCATTACAAGTAAAAAATGACATTTCCTGAGGCAAAAGGGCAATGCTACCATTGATTAAATTCACCATTTGGCACAAGCCCTAGGACAGTTTCTGTGTGACTCAGCCTTGATAATTTACAGCTTGTTCTTGTCTCTATTTCCTCAGTACAACGGCTCACGGCCAAGAAATGAATGGGATATGTGGCACCCCACACTTATTGCTGAAGCACTGTTTGCAATATCCAATATCCTGAGCTCCCTTCGTCTCATCTCCCTGTTCACGGCAAACTCCCATCTGGGTCCCTTGCAAATATCACTAGGACGGATGCTGCTGGACATTCTCAAATTCCTTTTCATCTACTGCCTGGTGCTTCTGGCCTTTGCCAATGGACTAAACCAACTGTACTTTTATTATGAGACTAGTGCCTCTGAGGAACCTAACAACTGCAAAGGAATTCGCTGTGAGAAACAGAACAACGCCTTCTCCACGTAAGACAAGTCTAACCTATTACAGTTCTCTTGTTTACATGAAATGTACTGTTGTGTCAAACATAGATTTCTGTCATATGGTTCTGTATGATACTCCGGGTTAAGTTTTCCACTTTTCCTATTTAGGTAAAAAATCTGCTCTCTTTGCTCTCTGATTACAGTCAGCATGGACTACTACCCCACCAACCCCATGTCTTTAAAAGCAGCACTGAGATTAATTGAGCCATCATTGCTGCTTCCCTTGTTAGGCATGCTCTTATTGGAGTTATATCGTACTGTGCCAAAAAAAGTAGTTTCCAAAAATCATAAGACCTCAAAACTGCTTTAAAGACAGACTAACAAAAGTGTGTCCATTTCAGAATAGACAAGGTTGGGTAAATTTTTTTAAATCATACTGAAGAAGTGTTTTGGTGGGTAAAATGTGCAAAAGAGTATAACATGGGGTAGTATGTGCAGGAGAGAAATGCATAGGGTATGGTGGTGGGCGCTATGTGAAGGAGAGGATTGTGGAGCATATAAAGGTGGGTAGTATGTGAAGGAGAGGAATGGGGAGCTTGTTGCACCGGTGAGTATGTAAAGGAGAGGAGTGGGGCAAGCATGACAGCAGGTAGAACGTGCAGGACATGATTGCAGACCATATGACTGGATGTGCAGTAGAGGAATGTGTAGTGAGTATTTGTAGGAGTTGAGTGCAGAAGGTATATCAGCAGGAAGTATGTGGAGAAGGTATATCAGCAGGAGAGAATGATGGCTGGCCGTATGTACAGAAGAGAAGTGCAGAGCATATTGTGATTGGCAGTATGTGCAGGCCGGGCGTTTGGCATGTATCACAGTGGACAGTGTGACCGTACGGCAAGTCTGATCTAACTGTACTGTTACCAGTACATGACAATACACAGTTTCAATCCTATCATGCTGTTGCAGTGACAATACCAATATCAGCATTATCCTACACAGAGATTTTCCAGCTCACTTGACAACAATCTAAGACTGAGAGTGATCATCACTGGTGTTGGTTAACTCCTTGCCATCCGCTCACTGTAAAAATGCGGGCGGACGGAGGATGTTTCCCGGCGGGTGCACATACATTTACGTGATTTTTTTTCTGCTCACGTGCGCAGGGAAGGTAAACAGCCATTACCGGCTGTTACATACAAGCTTTTGGCTGGCTCCATAGCCGGCCAATCACTTGTATCACTCTCCACAGGGCACCCCCCGCTGCCGCACCCCCCTCTGTTGCCGCTGCCTGTCCTCCCTGCGGCGCCCAGGACAGAGAACACCTGCACAGCGGCTACTGGTACAGAGGAGGAGAGATCAGCATTTCCCCCACCGCTGATCTCTCCTCCTTCTCTCTCTAAAGGAGGAAGGGATGTCTATTACATCCCTTCCGCCTTTAGCTGTTAGCCTTTAGATCTCTGCTTCATCAGCTTCTTTTGGGATCCCAAGGTGACATTAGGGGTCTTGGGGACCCCTGATGTCTCCATAAAGTGGACCTGTCATTGTATATTGGCTATCACTTAGGGGGATTTTTAGCCCCCTATGTGATAGCAATCAAGTTAAGTGTAAAAAGTGTGTGAGCAATCATTTTAGGGCCATTAAGCACTTAACAGATGAGCAGTAAAAGCTTTTAAATTGTCGCCTATGACCAATTTTAGGCATGGTAGTTTTTTGCAATTTTGCAGGCACACGCAATTTTAAAGCTTGACATGTTTAGTATCTATTTACCTGACGTGACCCCGTCTTTTACATTTTACCCACAAATTAGGTAACAATACATGTTTTATATATAACGTAAGGAAAACAGTTTTTTTTTTTCAAAATTGTCGGTTATTTTTTCATTATATATTAAAAAATAAAAACCCCAGTGGTGATTAAATACCACCAAAAGAAAGCTCTATCTGTCCCCCAAAAAATGATATAACATTCATTTCAGTACAGCGTTGTATGACTGAATAAATGTCAGTCAAAGTACTGCAGCGCTGAATACTGAAAATGGAGTAGACAGGAAGGGGGTTTAACACCCCGGTCAGCAAGTGGTTAACTCTGCTGTTGACCCTTTACACAGAATAATAGCTGCCACCATGTTTTTAACAGAAGCATGCACCATTCCCAGCAAATGCTGTGACAATTCAAAAACTTAAAAGAGAACTATGGGCTAAGTGTTTTTCCCCATAGTTCTCTTAAGGGTCACGGAAGGACATATACTAGTGTGCTCCCATGACCCAAAGCTCAGTATATCGCGAGCAACAGCTCGTGGTATACTGAGACCGCTGCAGCCAGGACGGATCCCGACAATGCTGTCAAGATCCACCCAGCTGCGTGAATGACAGCTGACTCTGCCTATATAGAGGCAGAGCCAGCAGTACCTGCCCCCTCCCCCATCCGTTCCCCCCATTGCTCTCTGCAGGGAGATGATCGAGAAGTGAGCGAGTGATGGTATGTGTTCACTCACTTCCTGATCTATTGAGCCGACGTATGACAGTTTCATTGTCACACGTCGGCTCGAACTATGAGGGTGAGTAATTTGAAATGGTGCAAAGAAATATACAGAAAAAGAAGTTACATAAAACAGTGACAAATAAAAAAAAAAATAAACAGAAAGGAAATAAAAATGAATGTACTTAGCAATGGTTGGGTTCTATGGGTTCCATCGGAGTCCAGTCAATGAAACAGAAAATGGATCTGGGATGGTCTCTCTCTTGAAGTAAGGCTTTGCAAAGTTTCTGTTCTTGATGTTAATGAGAGCTTCCTCTTGATGGTAGATGAGAGCTTCCTAGCTGCTTTCTGCAGCAGGTTTGTGTGGGCCCTCTAAGGGGTGTCACGGAGCCAGCCTCCCCACCCAATCAGAAAGGCTTAGGTGGATGAAGCAGGAGGTCCTCCTCTTTAGGGATTAACTGAGTCTGTCAAGTGTGCTGGTTATTAGCACTTTACAACTTCTCATTAGGGTTTTAATAAAACAGCCAGTCTTGAAACAACCACCTGGGTACTTAGCAGACTGGGGAATGTGAAGGATCATTTTACCAGAAACACGTATGTTAAATCCATATTTGATTGAATCATATCCAGAAGTGCTTATTCCAGCAACTTGAGGGGACAAGAAATTCCCCAATTAGTATTGGGGTGCCCATACCTCCCTTCAGTATGTGAAGGAGAAGAGTGTGGAGCACATTGCAGTGGCCAGTATGTGCCAGACAGGAGTATGGGCCATGTGACATTGGGGTGGTATGGTAATATTAGATGTATTGTGAGCACTAATAGTTGATGAGGGGATGGGAAATGTGCCAGAAATTATCTTCTGTGAGCAGGGAAGTTTGTGGGTGTTTTTCTGGTTGGGTGAAATGTACCAGAGATGTACCAGAAATGTGGTGGTGGTAGTATGAGGAGAGAAAGAGCTCAGGGAACATTCCAATACATATGGATAATACACTTTTTGCCATCCCTCTGCACCGTGAAGACAAATGCTTTTGTAAACAGACTACTCCCCGCACCCCCCACCCCCCCCCCCCCCCCCCCCCCAAAAAAAGAAAAATACTTTCCTCGGCTCCAGCTTCCAACACTTTCGGGAGGCACAGGTGGTGTTACTGTGTTACTGTGTCTTCTGGAAGAGCTGGGAGCTTGAAAATATGTCATATTTTTCACTGCAAAACAGAGGTATTACAGAGACCATATAGCTTTTCCTGAGTACAATAATACGGGATGATTGAATACAACAAAAAAGGAATTGACACCAGCATTTATAGAGCTTTATGTCTTCCAGTTTGCTACCAATAGTGGTTTTCAATGATCAATGTAATCATTAACAATTAAGAAAGGCCTTGTACACATTTATGGGTATTATTGGTTTCTGTTTCTGCTCTGTTTTTATGTTGACAGCTAAACAATGGAGTGACAAAAACTCTCATTATTGATCTCTGTGAAGAGACACCAAGGCTGTGCAAACTATATCTTCTCACCAATGCTTTCTTTTTAAAGTAAATAAGAGAAGGAACATGGCTTAGGAGTAAGAGAGATCATAATGAAAAGTAAAAGGAAGCAAGTGAATTTTACTGCCATTGTTTTTACTACTGAAAGTGTCATGTGAGAGTTTAAAATAAAAGAATACAGAGGATTATTAGTTGTTTGTAGTAGCAATAAAATAAAATAGAGTTATTACAGACTTTTTCATACTATTCTATCTTGCTTTATAAAGGTCAACTACAGTCACTTTTGTTTTGGTTTTGGATAGGATGGGACTGTGTCTTTCCTTGATAATTCATTTAAGGGGAAAACCCTTTTCTGTATATAAAGAGTTATACTGTATCATATCTACAAAACCAATGTGCTTGTTTAACATCATAGAGGGTTATTCACAAAGGACTCAAAGGATTAAGCCGAAGCATCAGCTAATCCTTTGGCTCAATTCGGTCGCCGGAGCACTCCGGTTCAGCCAAACCAAAGGGCAGCTGTATGGGCTATTCACATTAGCCCATACAGCAGCCAAAGGCAGCCGAGCGGCTGAAGTCACAACTGAAGCAGGGAAAACGGTCTATCAAAGCAGACCGTTCTCCCCACAAATGTAAACAACTGGGCGGAGCCAGTTTTTGCTGTCACAGCTGCCCCCACCCAGTTGTTGTCATTTCATGACAGCCCAGTGACCTCAGGATATTTGAAGACACTGGCACTGAGTTGTCAATAAGTGACAACAACTGGGCAGAGCCGGCCGTGATGTCAAGGCTGACTTCGCCCATTTGTTTTGATTTGTCCACGACCTGCGGGAAGACAGTGACGGGTGCCAGAAAAATGTAAACAGTTAAGTGGAGCTAGTAGTGAAGAGGAGCATTCAGAGTCTGCTGGCTGCAGGTATCAGGCACTTAGGGGAAGTGTACTCTGTGTCCTACCTTTTGTTTTGCAACTGGGGCAATGGGCCTCTTTTTTCCCCCCTGTGTGACTTGTGCCTCTGTTTCTGTTCACCCTGCGGCAAAATAGAAATAAGACATTTTCTTTATATTATTAGGTAAATG